AGCAGACAAACGTTTGATACCGGCCCCAAGTCTGAGGCGGATGTGGGGAGGCCTAGTTGCGCTCGTGCGTGTCCGCCACATTGGATCCGACCCAGGCTGGCCCACCTTGACCCCACATATATTCATCCCCATACGCTTTCTGGACCAAACCCTAGCCACTCCGCTCTGCACTGCCCCCAAGCCCCCTTCTGGCGATAGCCAGCCCTCTCCGCCAGGAACGGGCAATGGCAACCGTGCTTGATTTTTGTCCATAGCTTAGGGCGTACATAGAACATGCCAAATTTTGGTAGTCTGATGGCATGCATTGATGTAGTAGCTGGATGTTCGGCTGCATCGAAAGTTTACAATGCATGTGTAATATGAATTTGGGGTTAGCTAATTGAGATATCCGAATGTGAAAACAAATATTTGAGGTGTGGCCGGTCACTGTCCGTGGACACGCCCGGTCACATTCCCGAGACGTTTGAGAGGCCTAATTTGGTATGATGTGTGGCTATAAATGTTCTACGTGCATGATGTATATTAGCTCACTGAGGTATCCGGATGTGAAAACGAACATTTAAGGTGTGACCGGTCACTGTCCATGGACACGCCCGGTCGCATCCACGGGACGTTTGAGAGGCTGAATTTGGTATGCTGCGTGGCTGTAAATGTTCTAAGCAAACCATGCATGTAGAGTAAGTCATGAATTACTTTTTTGCACTAATATATGCATGTAGCACTGTCACATCAGCAATTAGTGCATGTTAATCATAAGCTCTTTTACATTAGATTTTCTATTGGCATTATATGTGGTAGGCGATTGCAACCTACCTAGTTCATCCTTCACATTTTTATTACTAATACTAGCAAAAGGGTCCGTGCGTTGCAACGGGAGAAAAGAATACCACACGCTTTTAATTTACAAAAAAATGGTCTATAATCTGAATATTTGTAGCTACGGCCCAAACAAAGATGGTCTTTGCCTACAAAAGCGCAAATTCAAGATTTCACATGTCTTCTATTTAAACACGGCTTGCATGTAGATTTAATACGTACAAAGAAACGGGCAAGTGATCTTTAATTTCGTCTCCAATCCTGATTTTGCTGAGATGTTCATCCCCAATCCGGATCAGTACCGATATGAAAGAAAGACAGATAATACACTATTGATTAAGATTGCACCCTAGATAGTATTTTTTTTAATGGTTAACAGGTAAAATAACATCATATTCAGATTCTATATATTTTTAATCAAATTCCATATATAACATGTTAAATTTGGAGTTACGGTTTAGAAGCTATGAGTATTTAAAAAATATTTGATATGTACTATGGAGTTAATGTCAGAAACCTTAGGTTTTTTTTTCATAAAATAGCACGACGGACTAAGAATACCTAGGAATATATTCGTGGCCATAAAATAGCTATTCCTTTTATTAGTAGGTATAGATACGCCATATAAAATTTAACCAGGTTTGTGCATACTGCATAGTGAATATATTCATGGCCGGCTGCATCTATCGTGTGGGTTTTACCTGTGGGCATAGCTAGCAAGGTACGCTACAAAGATTGGACGAATATGCCGACCGACCGGCGTACCAAAAGTTGAAGCCTGCTGGATCTGGGCGGCTTGGATCCATTGCCTTGGAGCTTATTCCGATAAGTGAGCATCTCTCAAACCCAGGATCGAAAGTGCGGTTGTACACATGACATCGACCCATCCATCGATCGCCTCCCCTTGTCACGCCGTCCCGACCACTGTTAGTCCATGTGCCTACCCAGGCAATTCCATCTCGTTCATGCACTATGCATTCCATGAACGGACGCATGCATGCATGCACGTGACAGCGCCACTTTCACTGTTCAGCCTAAGCAACCCCTGAGAGCCGAGGAAATTTGTGGTCAACAGCAGAAGGTTTAGATGCCCTAATTCCCATTTTGGTCAAGAGAGATGAGTCGGAGCCTTCCTCTTCATGCGGATCCATGGTGGTGTGGTGTGGTGGGGTGAAATGTCAGGAGGTGGAAGAAGATAGACTTTGGGCCGGCCATCGGGCACATGCATGCATGGGCAATCCACGTACCGCCACGACGCCGATTCCCAATTATCGGCCCCTCTCGCGCAAGATGCCGCCGTACGCGGGGCCCCCCTGCCCCGGCCTGGCCAGCATCCGCAGGGTGTCATTTGGCATTCCGAGAAGGGGCACCACCCCACACACACACTCCCACCTATCGAGCGAAGCAGCGAGAGAAAATTCACAGTGCAGGAGCGTGACCACACACCCGTCTCGCGCTCACTTTTCTCTAGCCGCAGGGCCCGGCGAGGAAGCTAGCTAGCTAGCTCGCTCGCCCGTCCGTCACGTGTAGCAGCAGCCGATCAGCTCCAGAGATCTCGCCGCAATGCCGAGGGAAAGCGGGATTTTGGTGCCGATCCCTTGGAGCGTGGCGTGGTGACCACGAACGGAGAGCCTACGTACGCCTCTGCCGCAGCCCACGCGTCTGCGGCACCGCTGTTGCCTTTGCCTGCCTGCGCTCGCTGCGGCGCTTCGAGCACATCGCCCGGGCACGGAGTCCACACACGGAGTTGGCGCCTGCCGCGTCCCACTCCGCGCGGTGCCCGCCACCACTATTTTACACCGTCTCGTGCATGTCCTAGCTTTCCTCCCCCCTCCACGTCTCGCTAGAAACGCACGCACACGCGTATAGTAGCAGTGTAGCACCAACGGGCAGTCGGGCACTAGCTAGCTCCTTCGAGTCCGATCGATCGGATCGGCATGACGCTGGATGCCCTGTGCGCGGCCGGCGACGTCCTCGTCTACGACACCTTCAACGCGGCGGCGGCCGTGAGTGCCGCGCCGGCCGAGAGCAGCCTCCTCTTCTGCGACGTCGCCGGAGCGGCATGGATGGCGGGGTCTGCTGCCGCTGAGGCGCCGGCTGTGACCATAGTGCCGGTGGAAGAAGGGGAGAAGGCGCAGGGGAGGAGGAAGCGGCGGCGGCGGGCGAGGAGCTGCAAGAATCGCGAGGACGCCGAGAGCCAGCGGATGACCCACATTGCCGTCGAGCGCAACCGCCGCCGCCAGATGAACGAGTACCTCGCCGTGCTCCGCTCCCTCATGCCGGAGTCCTACGCCCACCGGGTAAGCACACACTCTCGCGTCTCGCTGAATTCCTGATACTTTCTGCACTCCTGTGTCGAGTTCTTGGGATGAAAATCTGTACATCCAGCGCCATTATGATTGAGTTCTCGTCTCCTCCATTCCGGCCCCTGTTCTTAACTACTACCAGAGCCAGTGCACGCCAATAATGGCGCGTATCCCTCCTCCGCGAGACACACATTCCTCGGCCACATTGCGCCATTAATGCGCCTCCTCTCTCTATCATCACTTCACTCATAGTTGTAGTGAATGTTCTACACTGTTTTTTTACTTGGGGAAGCAGAGTGTTACTGCTACCTACTACCCTGTTCTTTTAAGTTGTACTTCTTCGATCACATGCAACAGACTTCTGTATGGATGAATGTACCTGTACTTGACTGTCGCTGGCTTTCAATTCGATGGATGTGTAGGGCGACCAAGCATCCATTGTCGGCGGCGCCATCGATTTCGTCAAGGAGCTCGAGCAGCTGCTGCAGTCCCTGGAGGCGCAGAAGCGCACGCTCCTCGCCCAGCCGCAGCAGGAGCACAAGCCGCTGCCCATCCGTGACGCGATGCCATCGTCGAGCAAAACGGTCACGGCCGCGGCGACAACTACGACGAGCAGCGGCAGCGGCGAGGGCAAGCAGGCGTCGGCGATGCGCGAGGGGATGGGTCCGCCGTTCGCGGGGTTCTTCACGTACCCACAGTACGTGTGTCGCCTCCCGCCGCGGGACGACGCCGACGACCGCGCCGGGGCGGCGGACATCGAGGTGACGCTGGTGGAGACGCACGCCAACGTCCGGGTGATGGCGCCGCGGCGGCCGGGGCAGCTGCTCAGGATGGTCGCCGGGATGGAGGCGCTCAGGCTCACCGTGCTGCACCTCAACGTCACCACGCTCGGCTCGCTCGCGCTCTACTCCCTCAGCGTCAAGGTACATTTCCATGCCGTTGCCTGCAAACTATTCACTCTCTTGTTACCTTCTCTTCCGATGAAAACCTAAGCCATCGCCAAAATCTACATGTTCATTTTTCTCCATCATATCATGGTGTAAAAGAGTTAGCGCCGGAAAATGACAACAACTCTAGCTATAAAGCCTGTGAGAATGATGCTGGGCCAGTTTGCAATCGAAGCATCTAGAGTAATTTTTAAGTCTCTTTGTTGCATGCGGCTTCTCTATCAGAAGGACCAAAAACATGTTGGTTCTAGCACAGCATCCAAAATAGCTAAACACTGTAGAAAATTCCCTACAAATTGTTTGTTGCGCTAAAACAATGAGGCTTGGACATTTTGTGAGTGTGATCGGCAACTCAAAAATCATTTCACATCTCTTGTTGCTTGAGGTGAACAAAATCATTCCGGCTAGGCATCTACTGCATTGCATCAGCTCTGCTGCAGAGGTAGCGTGCATTGCTTGTGATAGCTAGAACCAGTAGCCACTACCCAGTGCTGCTTGATGGTGCATCCGCCGCTGGCCATGGCCGGGAAGATCAGAAAGCTGGCTGGCTCGAGCCATGGCTCATTTGCTTTTTGACCAGATTGAGATTCCGGAATCGATCCAGAGGCTTTTGCTCCCCAGTTGTGGCTTTTGCTCTGATCTGCGCCCCAAGCTGTAGCAGCTCTGCTCTCTGGACTTGACCTGCCCCCATATGGGTGCTGCCTGCACTATATCGAGCCATGACACTTCAAGCTCAAAAAGCAGAAGCAGAATTGCATATATGATATTTTTTTCCCTCCTGCTAAAGCAGGCTCGAGATGGCGCCATGGAGAATCTTTCTGAGCTGGGCCGTAGATCGGATAGATTGACATGGCGAGGTGAGCAGGGAAAAGAAAAGGGGAGGCTACAGGGTTTGTGTGTGGTGCCTTTCCTTCGGGCTGTTCATGGCAGCAGCGTCCGTCGATCGCCCAGGCCCCATCGGAGAATCCGCCTTTACAGGAGCTTTTTTCACCTCCGACGATGGTGTAGCAGCTGCAGTGATAGATGCAGCACGCTGCTGCCGATCGCCTGTTCACCCGGCCTCTCTGCGCTCCGGAACCGCCGCTTTGCCTCGCGTGTATTGGCCTGATGCTGTTTACTATGTGCAGTGAACTTCGCTCCTGATGAGTGCGATTGCAGACAAAGCTCAGGCTTCATGTGTTTTTGATTCATGTGTGCAGGTGGAGGAAGGGTGCGGGCCGACGACGGCGGACGACATCGCCGCGGCGGTGCACCATGTGCTCTGCCTCGTCGACGCCGAGGCGACGTCGCAGCGGCTGCTCGCCGGTGGGCAGCAGGAGATTTTAAGTTAGCTAGGTGGACCGGGGCAACGCCGGCAAGCTTGCCGTCTGAGGCAGGGGTAGTAATTTGTAAAGTGTAGTGGACCTCTACGAGGCTTTGGAGCATGGTTAATAAGAGCATGTGCAGCCGGACTTTGCAAATCCGCACGCCTTAAATTAGCCGCTTGTATCCGCCGCTCTCATATTTTATCCCGTATATCTATACAAAACAAGCAAAAGTAATCCTACTAACTACATCTACGTAGTATCCTATCTACTCTTTGTCTCGAAGATGTCCATGACGACCGTGCCGGGCGCCGGCTGGACGGGCGGGTAGCAGGGCTCCGGCTCATCCTCCTCCTGCTCGACCTCATTCATGTAGGCGAACATCTCCGCCTCGTCTACGGCCTCTTGCGCCTCCATCTCCTGCCGTGCCGACGACGGCGTCTTGCCTCAGCAGCCGACTCAGACCGGAGGGAATCGAGGATGGCATGTTGCTCCGCCTGTAGATCTCCGTCGCCAGCGTCCCCACATCCCCCTCCTCCGGCTCCTCCTTCTCCTCCTCCAACTCCTCCTCTGGATCTACTGCATCAGGAGGTAGCCCCGTGGCGATCCGGGCTTCGCGCCTAGCCCGGATCTGCTCAAAAAACTCAAGCCGACGCTCCGGCGTCAGAAAGGGCTCGCTCCTCACCCGGCGGCGTGGGGGCATGGGTACTAGATGGACGGGTGGAGTGGAAAGTGGCGGCGGCGGCGGACAGGATGAGGAAAAAGTGGATGGATGATAGGGTTTCGGTGCCGTTGGTCGACTTAAATAGTCGGGCAATGCACTACGCGTCCAGCCGGAGCTGCGCCACCGGTCCGACGGAGGAGACGAGCTTCAAACCGTCGGGTTTGAAGGCGTTTCCGGCTGGGACCCCTTAGTCCGACGTGGCCGGCGTGCCCGGGCGCGCGCGGGGCGCCCCCGTATCCACCCCATATTTGGGCTGGATAAGGGTGCCGGTCAGCCCGAATGTTTGAGGGCCGTTCGAGAGGCCTATCTGGGTCAAAAAATTGTGACCGGGCGACAATGTCCGGCGTTTGAGACGGGTTTGAGGGGTCCGGTTGTAGATGTTGTAATACAGTCAACAATCAACATGTCATCTAGAGTCAATCTAGTAGCCCACTCGTACAATACGGACGCAGCTGTTCTGATCCCGAGTCCACATGAGCTCGGGTGAACAGTAAATCTAAAAAAATCTATTTTTTTGTGAGACTTTGACAAATGTCTTAATAGCTTGCAAAATTCCATCACCATATGACATTTTTGGAAAATAGGTAAAAAAAAAAGTAATGCTCGCAAACATTATACATCATCACCATAAGTGCACTGGGGCATATGCTGACAGCTTTTTTTTTAGAACGAAGTATGCTCTTTCTAAACTAATATAAGATATGCTGACAAGCTTGCCGTGTGAAGTATAAGTATTCTCTTTGTAAACTAATATAAGACCGTTTAGATCACTAACTTGTAAAGTGTAGTGGGCCGGCTGTAGGAGCCGGTGGTCTGTGATCCAGAGGCAGAGCAAATGGCCGAGCCAGGTACTAGTAGTACTACAATACATACAATAACGTGCGCTAGGTACAATTTTATTCTTCTTGCCACCGCGCGAGAGCTATTTCTCGCCAGTATCAAGACATAACTCAGGTCTCACCTCTAGCGCTGAGGCACACTCTCCTTAGTGGGTTGGCCTACCTAAGCGGCTTTGAAAAGATTCTATAGACCTATCCGGCTTTAGAACTTTCCATACTGTTATTTTTTTCCTGTTTTCTATGTTCCTTTTTTTTTGCTTTTTCATTTTCTTACTGGTGTTTGCTCTTTCGTTCTTTATTCCCATTTATCGTTTTCCTCCGGTATTTTCAGCTTGTTTTCTCTTTTTACAACACATGTCTACTTTTCTCAATACACATTATACATATTTCTTATACACACGTATTAATTTTCGAAGCACATTGAATATTTTTTCAATACAAGATGAACATTTTTCGAAAGGTACGGAATTAAGAAAACATTTTTAATGTATAAACAGTTTAGAAATTTCACAAATGTATTGTTGAAATGCGTGAATTTTTTTTAATATGACACCTACATTTTTTTTGGAATGTTACATTTTTGTAAATTATGCCAACATTTTTAAATGTATAAAAAAATTCAGAAAGTATCATGAACATTCTTTAAAATGTGAACATTTTTTTAAGATGTGTCAACATCTTTTTTGAATGTGACATCCATTCTTTTGGAATGGTATAATTTGTTTATACAAACAGTTTTTTTAACATTACCTAAACGTTATAGAAAATACTACTGGAATTTTTTTGAATTATGTGAGCATTTGTTTTATATTGTATATTTTCATGAACGTGCGATGAACATTTTAGTAATCTATATCTATACCTACTAATAAAGCAAGGTGTGCTAGCAAAGGAATAACGATTTATGCAGAATTTCGTACATGGGCCACGCGCCCTATGGCCCAATAAAGTAAGCCCATTTTTTCCTGCCCACGCAGCAATAAAAAAATCCTATTTCCCGCACACTGTAGTAAATAGTTTCAGCTACACACAGGACGCCCAAGACTCGGCGGCCAATTTTTGTTTATGCTTTGTTTCAAATTTTCATTTTCTGTTTCTTTCTGTTGTTATTTCGTGTTTCTTTTTTATTTTTCCTATTCCAAGTCTAATTTTAGTTTTTTCTGAAATTCACAATTTTCAAAAAATGTCCACACTTTCAATTTTATTCAAAACTTTGTAAAATGTTACAAATTAAGAAAATGTGTCCCTATTCGAAAAAATTGGATTTTTTTTATCGTGTCAAAATTTGTTCAAAATTTTAAAAAATATTTCCATTTAAAAATGTTTGTATTTTTTAAAAATAAAGATTAAAAAAATGCACTTGAAAAATGTTCTAAATTTGAGAAATATTCTTATTTTAGCGATGTGTTTAAAAATGTAAAAGAATGTTTGCATTTAAGAAATACATTTGCTAAAATTGTTCTGCTTGTTTAAAACATGTTCCCATTTTCAAAAATTGTTCACAACTTGATTTTTTTTGGTATTTTTATAAGAAGGTTCATGTTTTTAAGGAATGTATGAGAATTTTAGGAAATGTTCAATTCAAACTTTTTTGTTCTTGCTTTGTGCAAAAATGTATGGAATTTTCCAAAAACAGTTTATGATTTGGAAAAAATTACATTGCCAAGTATATTCGGTAGTTCATGTTATGAATTCGAAAATTGTGTTCCTATTTAGGAAATGTTTGAATTTTATATGTTTGTCATTCTGAATTTTTTTCAGAATTTAGAAAATTATGCCATTTTTTGAAAAATCTTTGGGTTTTTTTCCAAATATGTTCAAGACATAAAAAATGTTACAAATTTGATAAATATTCTTTTTTTAGTGTTATGTTCAGAAATTGAAAATAATTTTTGTGTTAAAATAAACATTTTCTAAATTTCTTCTATATGTTCGAAACATGTTCCCATTTCAAAAAATTGTCTACAACTTCAAAAAACCCGTATTTTGATAAAAAGTTCATGCTTTTAAGAAATATTTGTGAATTTGAACAAATGTTCCGTTCAAATTTTTTGTTCGTGTTTTTGAAAATGTGTGAAATTAAAAAAAACATAATTTGGAAAAGCGTTAGCTTTGCCGAGTATATTTGACATTTCAAAGTTATCAGTTTTTGAAAAGTTCAAAAAAAAAGTTTCGAATCTGCCGTTGCATTGTATTATTTAATATTCACGTTGACTATTGGTTAGCAGAAGACGTTTATTTGAGTGGCTAGCAACATGTGCTCAGGTCTTTGAGGCCGTGAGTTTGATCACTTCCATATTAGGCCTGCTCCACATCCGGCGCATCAAGCTAAGTCGGTTTGTTCAAAATAAGAGACATCATAAATTGTTGACGGTGATAGCTTTTATGTGTCAATAAAAGAGAATATGATGATTAATTACAATTGAAAAAAATTATGAGCACGTGCCAATAAAAAAATATTGGTTTGGCTCTAATTAAAGGGTGCCATGTTGAACTAGAGAATACAAATATGTGGGGGTCTTGATCCATTTTTATATTGAGGTAGAGGCATGTAATTTTATTATCATGTTGCAACGCACGAGCTTGTGTTCTAATATAATAAGAAGTAATAAGCAAAAACAAAATGTGTCTTGGAGAACAACGCTCCTCTCATGCTTGTCCGGTCCATTTAGGGGGCTCATGAGGCAAGAGATCCTTTCGGGTTGCTTTAAACGACATATAATCGTGCCCATACCTGCGAGTTTACCCTCTGAACTAATTTGTAAAGTGTAGTGGGCCATTGAGGTTTCTAGTGAAGTCGGTGGTTTTTCTGTGAGATGCGTATAAGAAAGATAGCTGGCCTCGTTAACCAACCTAGAGCCAGGGCTCTGCCTCCTCCTCCTCCAAGAAAGAAAATTAGGATTTGTGCCTCTCGTCGGCACCGGCGTAGGTCCGTCTCGTTTCCGGTGACTGTAGGACCATGGAGGCGCGGTGGATCCTGGCAAGGGTCGGCGGGAGGGCTTCGTTTTTAGTCTTTTTTTCAATCTTGTTAGGGTTTGTGCCATACTCAAGAAGGCGAGACGGCGGCGGGTCCCTTAAAATGGAATAAAGGTCTCCCCGCCTAGCCCCTGCTCCGGCGGTGCGTCTAGCATCGTTGGTGGGCGTGTGTGTCTCCGGCAGATCTATCTTTGCTGGATTTGCTCGGATCTCGTCATTGTTCGTCTATGTTCGTGTGTCTTCGGTTTGGATCCTTCCGAACTACGTTATTTTTCATCGGCAGCGGTTGCTGTTCTGGGGTGCTGGTCTTATGGGGCCTTAGCACGACGACTTCCCGACTGTCAACTACAACAAGTTGTGCCCGGCTCCGGCGATGGAGGGGTGATGACGGCGGCACGCCTTCGGCTCGCTTCGGCGCTAGCGGCACGCCTTTGACATGTATCTCAAATCCTATGTATCTCAAACCCTTTGATTCATATCATATGATT